AGTAGAACATAATCATATATACTATTATAGATAAAAGAATTTTTTTTAACTCGTTCACATACAAACCATATTTGAAATGATCAATCTAATCTAACATTGTTATAAAACAATATGCTCTGGTTAACAGTAGTCATAGATTCATATATAATAAACTCCGCATTGTAACCCATTCAGGGCCATAGAATCTAAGAGTCTTATAAACAACATATTATAAAGCTGATAAACCAAAAATAGTAAGAATTAAGTCTCATCCATATTTTGTAATGAATTCATAATAAACAAATCACATGCGATCTTGGACCTCAATCCAACTATGAGCAAGTAGAATAATTGAAAGGACACAAAAACTTGATAATACATGAATAAGTTAAACACAGATTGTTCTAGGATGACAATATGCAGTAAACAACATAATTCATCATAATTCATAGAGAGGGGAGGCGCAACAAGTCGCTAATGTAGCTGTAATCCTCCTGAGCCTTCCCTGACGTCCCTCCTCTAAAAGAAAAACATTAAACACCATGGATGAGATAACATATCAATAACTAAATCACTATCTATCGCACACACTAGCATGGGGCTAGAGCGAGGTGTCAAATAGGATGCACAGATTTAGTAAACAATCAACAAATATTTATTTAATAGTTAAACTTACAATGACCAGATAAGTCAGATATTTTAGCCAACCTCATGCAATTGATCATGTCATAAAAGATGTCATACTTTTTATTTATTCACAAAATAATATCAATAAAGATTTCGTATCATCTGCAATCACTAAACCCAAATTCATCCTTATATCCTTTTTATTTCCGCTTACTGGACTTATGGGCTAGATTCTTTCCACGAGTTGTAGGATAATAATAGTGGCCAATCATAAAGCTCCGTATGGTAGTCAATACCACGTGGCATGTATATATTTACTACTTCAATCATTTCTACCCCCTAACCAAAACCAGATGCATAGAGTCCACAATAACACATTTATATGCCTAATCAAATAAATTTCACAATAATACTTCATGGTCACAATTATTAATTTTTAATAACATAAACGGTTTTAACCTTTTTCAAAATGGCATCCCATAAGATAATTGATACAAAAAATAATATAGGTATACAAAAATTAGTTATAAAACTACTTACCAACTTCATACCAGAGCATGCAACAGATAGAAATTAGTTAGTTAGTCTCCTAGCTTAAATTATCTTTTAATAAAACCACTCACCAACTTCATACCAAAAATTCAATCCTAAGTTCATTTAACTTAAATTATCTTTTAATTACTACCTATGGTCCTAATTATAAGAGCTAGTTAACTAATTTGAGAAGATTAAGAAAATAAGTTAGGTTAGTTATTTGTAGTAAATAGTATATGTCTTTCCTAAAATATCCTTGCTAATCAAGTGTATTGATTAGAACTACCATTATTAGAATGATTATCTTGGAAAAGAATGCACAACAAGAGAGATAAAATGGATTGGAGAAATGGATTGGAGTCTTATATTTAAGACCAAAATAAAAGTTAACGAGGTCTTATATTAAGGACCGAAGGTAGTATTAGGTTATATAATTAGAATAATTAAATTCATAACTTATATAGAAACCCCCAATTTATGGTTATGTTCTATTTTCATAGAACTTAGACAAGTAAATTTAATACTAGTTGGGTTATTCTCACTACAGGATATAAATCATTGATCTGATTGTTGAATTTAATTTTTTACCTGTCACAAGTCTATTCTCCATATTATGGCTCGATCTAATGGTGAAGGAATTTAAATTGACTATGCAGGGTTCTTTCTACAAAATTTTAAAAAATGAGTTCAAAACGTACCTAATAACTCATATTCTCAAAGATTAGATTAAGGATCCAACCGTTAAAATTGACGAGTTGGATATCACAAATAGGATGACAAAATTTTACCTTGATTCAACAATTTACAAACTCAAACACATCACACACATATAATCATGATTAATTAAATTTACTTATATTTTGAATTCCATTAACTTTTTGGCAAAAGATATTTATTTATAAATTTAAATAAATTCTGGGTATAAAAATTTAGGATATTACAGATTTCATATACAAGATTACTTGTTTTTGCCTAAACTAACCAAATCATACTTATAGGTACTAGCAAACTTTTGATGAAAGTCCTAAGAATAATAAAATCGTGATAAAATGATGATCCGCATGTGAATTAATAGCAGTTTTAAAGCGTATATATTTATTAGCTATCAAGTCATAACAACCACAATATGATATTTGATACCATTCATGATTGTGCTATAAAATTGTTTTCCCAATAAGTACCGAGCCCATGAGAAACGTCATCAGATTTTATCCAACAGTGTAAATAGTTCAGTTGATCGCTCTTCGCTATCATGACTCATTATTTTCCGAATTTTTGAAACAAATGCGAAATAACGTGCGTGTATGGATAGAAAAACTTGCACTTATTTGTTTCATTGGACCTAAGGCTTTGTTGTGGTTCAACAAAAGGGGGGAGGGGAGGGGAGGTTAATTGAAGGAAGGGGAAAGGAAGGGAGGGCAGGTCATGGGTTTGTTTGGTTAGAGAGGAAGGGAAGGGAGGGGGATTTCTTATTTGGTTCATAAAAGGAGGGGAGGAGAAGCAATTATAAATTGAAAATAATGCCGTCGTCTCTATATTTAGCTACTTTATTCTTTTATTATAATATTTATATCAAAATTATTATTTCTTATTTATTAATAGTGGTAGAGAAATATCATTCTATTTGGTTCATAAAAGGAGGGGAGGAGAGAGAGGAAGGGAAGGGAGGGGGATTTCTTATTTGGTTCATAAAAGGAGGGGAGGAGAAGCAATTATAAATTGAAAAATATGCCATCGTCTCTATATTTAGACTACTTTATTCTTTTATTATAATATTTATATCAAAATTATTATTTCTTAATTTATTAATAGTGGTAGAGAAATATCATTGAAAAAATTAAAAAAATACTTAATTAAAAAAATGCTTAATTAAAAAAATATTACTGTTTGTTCTTGTTAAGTATGAGAGCCCAAATTAAAACACAAGAAAAACCCTCATTATTATATCATCTTCCATCCCCAACCACATATTGGGACAACCCCTTCTCTTCTTAGTATTATTGTCTTCTTCGCACACCCAGCAGCCACCGCCAGTTTCTCTTTTCAAAATCGCATGTCCTCTTCCATCACCAGTCTTCTTTCTACCAAAAAAATTTTGGGGGACTGTTCCACTACTTGCTACAGCTGAAGGGAAGGAAGAAGATTACAAACATACAATAAAATATAGACCTTCACGGCTTAATCCAAAAGAAAACAAAATAAGAATGAAAAACATTAGAGAAAATGATAAATTAGAGGCAACAACGCGTGAATGGGAAGGAACCGTCGAAGGGGAAGTGTCAGATAAAATTGGGATATTGAAAAAACAGAAAAACTATTTTGGTCAAGAAATGGCAAATTAATTCTCTCCCCTCCAAAACCCCCCAATTTGGGATGGGAGGGGAGGGGAGGGGGAGAAGGAGAAGGGATAGGAAAAAGACAAAATTTTTTAACACACCTCCCCTCCCCTTAAAAAAACCCTAACCAAACACTACCTCAGGGAATGATGAGTATAGCGGTGGGGCTGTACAGCTGATTGAAATCCAATATTTGGGCCACTGATTTGTTTGAACTTCTCATCAAAACCCGAACGTGGATAACCTTGTAGATACCTTAAAAAAACCCATAACAGCTTTTTTTTTTCCCTTTAAAATAAAAATAAAGGAATTGAATTGTCCTATAGCAAGGTGATCTATCATCATAAAAAATCTACCCGTATTTTGCGAACTTGATTCTCTTGAGTTGTAACTCAATGGTCCAAACATGAAATGACGATAACTATGATCGCAGAGTTACCACTTGAGCATAGCTATGCCCACATTTTCGAAGTAAATAGAATACCCAAAAATATACAGAGAGATGTGAAGAAAGATGTCAACGCTAACTATATGCATGTATCTGCTATATTGTAATAGTTACCCCCCCCCCCAAAAATATTACAAGAAGTTGCTGCCATGTTTTTAATTCCTATGCAGTATTTTATTGTGATAACAAATTTAATTGGAGGGCTAAAGCCTGAAGGCAAGAAAATAAAAGGATATTTGGAGGGCAGAATTTAATCCTGACTCACTAATTTCTTCCAGACGGCTTTGAATTTTCTCCATTACAAACTACTCTTTCGGTTCTTAATATAGGATCTAATTGTTAAGTTAATTTTTGTCCTAAATATAAAACATATTTCTCATATTTATTAATTTTTTCTAAATTACATTTATAGATACTCTGTTAACTATAATCAAATAAATGAGAGAAGAAGAATATTAAGAAAGATAATTATAGTGTTTTAGGAAAAAAAATGTCATATTTGTTATACTTAACTAACTTACATAACTTCCTTAATATAATCAAACTAGTTAAATAGGTCTTATATTAAAGATTGGAGAAGTACTAAATTTTTGGGATCATGACTTCATTAGTACTATATTTTTGGGTATTGCGACATGGGGGTGTCTATATATACGTCCTTAACTTACAATATCTACCAAAATTCTTACCTCAATTCGAAGAGATCACAAGATATCATAACGTGTAATTATTAATGGCATTAAAAGGCATTTTGAAAACACAATTAGTGACGCACAAGTAAATGGGGAATACTCATTGCGGCATATAAATAAATAAAAGAATCAGGGAATAATAATTGATGACGCAAAATTAGTGACAATGAAAATGCTTAGACCCATTTTAAATTTGTTGATTGATTGATGATTTTTTTTAATCAAAGATTGATGATTGATACTTTATAGATAGTAATAAAATTAATTAAAATTAAATTTTATCAATCAATGCCATTTAATTAGGCCTGATTATCATATACACCAATCATATCGCGTCAATAATCCTACATAAGTGAGATTTGGGATGGCTAAAAATCCTCAACGATGGCCAAAATTCTGAAATCCATCATTGTGCTCTTCATATTATTGGCATCAAACTTGGTTGATGCCAAAATGCGAGTGAGTGTGACCAACATGTTAGATCATAACCTGGACTTGACTATCCACTGCAAGTCCAAAGATGACGACCTCGGGGAGCATCTTATTCATCACTTACAACGCTATGAGTTTGCATTCGGCGAAACATTCTTTGGTACAACTCAATTCTTTTGTGGCTTTCAATGGAAAGGAGCCTTCAAGTGGTTTGATATATACATAGAGAAAAGGGATGCATGTTATTCTGGACGCTGCAATTGGAAAATTAAGCAGCATCAAGCATGTATGCATGACGGTGACAGTGAGATTGAGATTTGTTATCCATACAATAAAGTAGGATGACCAACACCTATTGTAATATCTTATTGATCGTAATGAGTCACAAATCACTATTAATTGCTCCCGCGTTTCTCCTCTCCTTTCGCGTTCTACTTTTATGCTATTAGTACATTTCCCGTTATTGCTATTATTTTCATTATACATATTCTTTCGGTCCTTTATATAAGACCTATTTAATTAATTTAATTAAATTAAAAAAGTTAGAAAAGTTAGTTAATTATAAAAAATATGACATATTTTTCCTAACACACTATAATCATCTTTATTAATATTCTCTTTATTTTTTCTATTTGATTATGGTTGAGGGAGTATCTATAAGGGTAATTTAGAAAAAATTAATAAATATAAGAAATAGATATCATATTTATGACTAAAATTAACTTAATAATTATGTCCTATATTAAGGATTGAAGGAGTATTATAATATCTTCCCCCTTATTTTCCTCCTTTATCCCTTTCGCCCCCCTTACTTCATTACTACTGCTCTAATTTTTTAAGACGATGCTTCAGATTTCAAGTTTACTTTTAATCCAACACCTCCCTCCAAAAAGAAAGAAGGTAATAATAGGTTCATACGTACCGTACATAGCCTTAGACGCCTAAGGCGATGATAAAACAGTAAGGGCGTGCGACTTAAAACCACATGGTCGAAGGTCAAAGCCCTTCCTCTCATGCTTGTCTTCATCTGCGTAACAAGTACTCTTCCGTTATCCGATCTATTTAACTAATTTTATTAAATTAAAAAATTAAATAAATTAGTTAATTATAATAAATATGATATATTTTTTTTCTAAAATATCATAATAATATGTTTTATATTTAGGATCAAAATCAATTTAACAATTATGTCTCATATTAAGAACCGGAGAAGTACTTTTTATTTTTTTAAAAAAAATCCAAAATAAAAGAACAGTATTAGAACAAAAACGTAAGAGCTGCCACATGACCAGAGAGAGGGAGAGGGGGATGATACTGGCTAGACGGCTTCTGTTGGAAAGTCAAGGCACGCGGGCGGGACCACCGCATAGGACGGCTGCCTTGCGCTTGGACTATTAGTTATTCCAACTTAGGGTGTGTTTGGTTGGAGGGGAGGGGAGTCCCTCCCCTCATTTGGTTAAAAATTTTGGAGAAAAGGGAAGCTAAAATGACCCAAAATTTTTTTTGGGGTTCCCTGTTTCGCGGACTCCTTAGATGCCTTATCCTTTCCCGTTTCAGTCCCTTCTTTTTAACCTTTCAATCCCTTTTTTTCCCCAAAATTTTATTTTATTTAAATCCGACCCCAGCCCAGCCCCAGGTCGAAAGTTGAAACCCCAAACTTTCGGACGCCGCTTCTCCCCGCTACCCTTATGCTCCGGTGCCCTCCTTTGCTCCCACAGCTGTGCCGTTTTCGGGGAAAACAAGGGAGGGTCAGTACTTTTTTAATTTTTTTTTAATTGAGTATCCTAAATTAATTATTAGTATACTCAACATTCTAAAATATTTTATTAGTGGCACCAATATCTAACACTTATTATTTCGAACTATTATTTTTCAGCAGCACCTCCTATTTTAAAATAATTTTTGATCCACTTAGTGAGTTAAAATATCTTCTCATTGACACCCACTGTATGGCAGCTAACTTGTTTCATCTAAATGGTAGAAACAGACTCCAATCTTAGACATCATTGAAGCATAGCTATGAGGATGCCGTTGGGCAATTCCGGTTGACAGTTTGGAGTATTTTACTCTAACGAAAAAAAAGAAAGTTAAGTACTCCTCCGATCCTAATTATAAGACCCAATTGACTTATTTGAGGAGATTAAGGAAGTAAGTTAAGTTGGTTATTTATAATAAATAAGTGTTATTATTCCTAAAATATCCTTGCTAATTAAGTATATTGGCTAAAACTATTATTATTAGAAGGATTATCTTGGAAAAAATGCATAAATATAAGAGACAAAATGGATTTGGGTCTTATAATTGGGACCAAATAAAAAGTCAAATGGGGTCTTATAATAAGGACCGGAGGAGTAATTACTACTTCTGGTCTTATTTATAAGACCCTGTTTATAGACTACAAACAACATCTTATAATTAGAAATTGAGATAGTATAAAATTAGTTTTAAAATCTATAAATGATTCCTTATGAAACTTACTATGTCTCCATGTGGTTACAACTTACAACATCAGAGACAGGGAGAATAAAATAAATGACGGAGATGCAATCTAATATTTGGCTGAGAGCCAGAATGATATTAAAAAAAAAAAACCAACAAACTATGCATTAATTTATTTATCACTTATTTCTTATTCTCATATAAAATGTATATTTATTAAGTAAATACAAAAGCCGCAGATGGATCCAAAATCCATCGAACAGTTTGGTTGGAAAAGTATTTGAGATTAATGGGAGTGGAGTGCACTCTATTTTTTAGTTAGGCACATAATTTTTTTTTATTAGATATAATATTGTTCAAGACAATATCAGGTACTAAATCTGAGTACTTTTTTTAGCGAGAATTCTAAATTCACCATGTTGTGAGAAACTAATTCTTTTCACTAAATTTAATTCCCGTTGGTTGGAGTACTGATTTTTTTTTTTTTTTGTGAAGAATGAGTTGATTTTTGGGGGATATGTTTGAGAATATTTGGTCATATAGAGGAGGATTTGTGGTAAAGATTGAGTGGTGCGGCAGAAACAAAAAAAAAAGTAGAAATGAAAAGAAAAAGCCTAATCATGGATGAAGAATAGGGTTCTCTGGGAGGTCTCTCAGTTCGGCCATCCTTTCCGCCTTTTCATCTCCAAACCAATTCCTTTTGTAACAATCACGCCAACACACACACACACACACACACACACACACGGGGCCGCTTCTAATTTGCCGTTTCTTTTAGATGGATAAAAGTTACGACAAAAGAAAAGTGCTCAATTTCTCACATTCAATTAATAGACGGACTATTAATGGGATTGAGTTTAGTGGAAAGGACTAGTCTCTCACAACGTGACGAACTAATATTCAAATCCCCGTTAGGAGAGGTGCTCATATTTAATGCCTGATAATGTTTCGAATAGGATTATCTCCAATAGAAAGATAACTATGTTTTAACAAAAAAAAAATTAATAGACGGACTAGACTGGATTTGCCAGTTCAACTGATTGAACCGAAACTGATTTTAGGCTTGGACTGATAAAACTTGGTTAGTTAGAGAACTAATCAACAACGATTGAACTATTGGAACCATTCATATTCTTTATTATTAATTTTTATTTTTTAATCTCAATCTATGTTTTCAAACTATAACTATCTATCCTTAATAAGCATTGAAAAATGAACATATAGGCGGGAAATATGCATGCATATGTATTCACATGTATGTATATATTTGTTTTATTATTTTTTTGGGATGAAAATAATTGAGTATTGATGGATATTACTTTATTATTATATATTATTTTTTTGGGATTTAAATATTTATCTTTGTTATTTTTATTTCAAATATATATTATTTAAAATATATCAATTTCTTCTCCGGTTTCTCATTTGGAAGAAAGCCCTCCATAAGTAGAGTTTATTTGTCTAATATTGATCCATAGAATAACAGAGTTTATTAAGAAATGAAATTTATACACTATTTCTCTTAACTACTAATGACTAATACAACTCGTTAAAAAATTTTATTTCATATAATTACATAAATTTAGAGGGTCATCAAATAAATAGTAAATGTAAACAAAGTTTTAAACAGGCATATATAAGGTGGATAAATATATGCATAATGTGTGAAATAATAATAAAAAATATATAATCTATAAAGATTGACCCAAGTAATTAAAAATACAACCCATACCGTACAAGAGTTTGACTTTATTAACAAAATGTATCAAATTCGCTTACTAAAAACCAGAAATGTACGAAATTTATTCTTCCCTGCGTTCCTTATGCTTTGTGACTATTTCTCCTCAAAATTAAGTAAAATGGAAAGGAACAAAATATTGAATTAGATTATTATATCCTCCAAATTTTCATTCTCGCGGCGAATTTTCCACAACGCTGAAGAAAGGTTTGAACTCATCCAGTCACAACCACCCCACATGAGGAAGCTTTTACAATATTACAAGTCTGGTTGTTTATATCTTAGACCCTAAGGCCTAAACCCTAAATTCACGTGAAATGAAAGGAAAAAACCCATGGGCATGTGTAATTAGAGAATTTAACATAATGAATACAAAAAACATAACCTAAGATTTTTTTTCTTTACTTTTAAAATAATTAAACTGGAATTTATATAAAAACGAAATAATTAAACTGAAGGCTTAATTTATAAGTGAAATTAATTGAGGAAACTATTGACCGCCGTTAGGGTTGACATGGCTATCCGTTGACTTTTGTTATAAACAAAAGTCAAATACTGATAAGACGTACTCCTCCGGTCCTTATTATAAGACCCCATTTGACTTTTTATTTGGTCCTAATTATAAGACCCCAATCCATTTTGTCTCTTATATTTATGCATTTTTTTCCAAGATAATCCTTCTAATAATGATAGTTTTAGCCAATATACTTAATTAGCAAGGATATTTTAGGAATGACAATACTTATTTATTATAAATAACCAACTTAACTTACTTCCTTAATCTCCTCAAATAAGTCAATTGGGTCTTATAATTAGAACTGGAGGAGTAGTTTCGAGCGCAGCCATACGATCGAGCTCATAAAGCGATTGTCTGTGAAAGCATGATTTAATTTTAAGACTTGTAAAGCTCTCTCCAAGAAAATTTATTATAAATTAATCGATATGATAATCCAACTTGATACTTATTATATATATTTATCATTTCATATTATATATGCACATATTTACTTTATTATTTATTTTGAATGAAAATAATTGAGTATTGATGGATATTACTTTGTTATTATATATTATTAGTTTGGGATTTAAATATTCATCTTTGTTATTTTTATTTCAGATATATATATTTAACTTATATCAATTTCTTAACGATATTGGACCACACGGTTCAAACCACAGTCCGACCCATCGTTTGACAAAACTCCTAATCCAGCTATGGTTTCTCATTTGCAAGCAAGCCCTCTATAAGTGGAATTTATTTGCCTAATATTGATCCATAGAATGAAAGAGTTTATTAAGAAATGAGATTTATACATTATTTCTCTTAACTACTAATGAATAATACAACTCGTTAAACCTTTTATATTTCATATAATTATATAAATTTAGATGGTCATCAAATTAATAATAACTGTGAGCAAAGTTCTAAACAGGCATATTTAAGGTGGATAAACATATGCATAATATGTGAAATAATAATAAAAATATACTCCTCCAGTCCTTAATATATACTACCTCTGGTCCTAATTATAAGAGCCAGTTGACTAATTTGAGGAGATTAGGGAAGTAAGTTGAATTAGTTATTTGTCCTAAATAGGTGTTGTCTCTCCTAAAATATCTTTACTAATCAAATGTATTGACCAGAACTATCATTGTTAGAAGGGGTACTTTGAAAAAAATTTATAAATATGAGAGACAAAGTGGATTGGGATCTTATATTTAGGATCAAAATAAAAGTCAAACAGTGTCTTATACTACCTCCGGTCCTAATTATAAGACCCAGTTGACTTATTTGATGAGATTAAGGAAGTAAGTTAAGTTAGTTATTTGTAATAAATAAGTGTTGTCATTCCTAAAATATCCTTACTAATTAAGTGTATTGGCTAGAATTATCATTATTAGAAGGACTATCTTGGAAAAAATATATATAAATATGAGAGAAAAAATGGATTGGGGTCTTATAATTAGGACCAAACAAAAAGTCAAACCAGGTCTTATATTAAGGACCGGAGGTAGTATTAAGGATCAGAGGTAGTATAAGATATATTTAACTAATTTGATTAGATTAAAAAAATTAGGTAAGTTAGTTAATTATAAGAAATATGACATGTTTTTCCTAAAACACCATAATTATCTTTCTTAATGTCCTCCCTCCCTCACTTACTTGATTATGGTTGGAGAAGTGTAATTTAAAAATAATAATAAATATAAGAAATAGATCTTATATTTAGGACTAAAATTAACTTAATAATTAGGTCATATATTAAGGACCGGAGGAGTATAATCTATAAAGATGGATTCAAGTAATAAAAATACAATTCTTACCGTACAAGAGTTTGACTTTATCAACAAAATGCATCAAATTCGCTTACCAAAAACCAGAAATGTACGAAATTTATTCGTCCCTGCGTTCCTTATGCCTTGTGACTATTTCTCACAAAAATTAAGAAAAATGGAAAAGAACAAAATATTAAATTAGACTATTATATCCTCCAAATTTTCTTTCTCGCGGCGAATTTTCCACAACGCCGAAGAAAGATTCCAACTCACCCAGTCACGCCCCGTTAGGAAGCTTTTACATTGCAAGTCAAGTTGTTTTTATCCTCGACTTTAAACCTTAAACTCTAAATTTTAAATTCACATAGTCATGACTCGTGTAATTAAAAAATTGGACATAATAGATATAAAAACTTAATCTAAGTTTTCTTTTTTTACGTTTTATGTATGTTTGTTTGAAATAATTAAACTGCAATTTATATAAAAACGAAATGATTAAACTGAAGGCGTAATTTATAAGTGAAATTAATTAAGGGAACTATTGACCGCCGTTAGGGTTGACATGGCTGTCGGTTGACTTTTGTTATAAAAGCTTTTGTAAAAGTCAAATACTGATACGACGTGGTTTCGAGCGCAACCATGTGATCAAGCTCATAAAGCGATTGCTTGTAAGAGTAGAGTTTAATTTTAAGACTTGTAAAGCTCTCTCCAAGAAAAATTTATTGTAAATTGATCGACACGATAATCCAACTTGGTACTTATTATATATATTTATCATTTCATATTATATATGTAGATAAAATTATACCAAATCCAATATATACCAGCCGGATATAATTTTGCTTTGGTCAAACTGCCATAATTCATTTATTTAATGTATTTGGTCATCAACGAAGTTGATGAATACTCTTTCCGTCCCTCATTATAAGATCTTTTTAACTAAATTGCGCAGTTTAATAAAATAGTACTGTTAAAATTAGTTAAAAACAATTAATATGTAACAAATGTAATTTTTTTCCAAATATACCCTTATATATAAATAGGTAAATATGAGAAAGTAATAGTAAGATAAATAAAGAAAAAGAATGTATTAAATACATTAAATTAGGGGTAAAATTGGTAATAATATATTAAATGTTCAAACAAACTCAAAGATGATCTTATAAAAAGGGACAGACCTATTTAAAAAATTAGATCTTATAATAAGAGACTAATAAGAGACGGAGTATATATATCCGAACTAAATTACTATAAAGTATGACCCGAAGGAATTAATCAAAGATCTAAAACAAATTTTTTTTGGTAGTTTTGATAATTTTTCAGGTATATAGTTGGGTGACCGGATCTTTTCATGTAATTGACATAAAATGAGTAGAAGTATATATGTCCTAGTATAATTTATTTTAACACCTTAATTACATAGTCTATTATTCATGTGAAATCCTTTTTATCTTTTTTCTTTTTGGGTAGAAATATCTCTCTCGGTGTGCATGTGAGTCACATCACTTTGCTTGTACTGCAAGTTGATTTAATTTTTGCACATTGAAACATTGCAGAAAGCAAATATATTTATTATATTATATACATGAAAATGAAAATGAATAGTTACACCTTTAATGTTTGAAAAGTCAGAAGACCGTGTACAAGCTACAAGAAATCAATAATATAAAAAATGTAAAGAATAATCAAGAATTAGTAATTAAAGAGCTTTAATTAGGTCATTATTAATATCAGTCTAAATCCAGATTTTTAGACACTAAAAAAGAAGAAAATAATATTTTCAGAAAAGTTTGCTGGCGAATTCATCGACCTCAGATCCTTGTGAACGGCAGAAAGCAGATTTAGATGCAAGTTTTCTGAGCTGCGAAACGCTTCTTCCCAAAATGAGAGCCATCTTCATCTCAAAGATCTCTCCATTTTCTCTTTTCTCACAGTTCTTCTCTTCAAGCGTCGATTCGGTCGTCTCTTCCAAAAGCCTGAAGAATCCTCCACAGTATCTGTACATGTCCACAACCATCCCTACTTGCCCGCCATGCTCAAACGCATTCACAACACTCGCCATTGCTCCTGCAACTACAGCCACTATCATGATTCCCCACGAGCCATTATCATTATTATTATTTCCCAGAAATATTGCAGATCCTAACGCTGCAATTCCAGTGAATAAAGAACCCGAAATCGCCATGATTTTGTTCATCTTTAAAGCCAAGTTTCCTAGCCTTTCGTAGTCCTCTGCGTCTTTTCTCTTCACCACTTCTATAATCTCCCTCATTTCCATTTCCAGCTTCTCGTTCCATCCATTTTTCGTCGAACTCGAGCTTTTCGTAAGATCCGGAGAAGAAGAAGAAGACGACGGCGATTCTGTCTTTGATGAAGAAGGCCACCAAATCGCAGGCTCGAACTTTGAAGGGAATTTTTCGACCATGGCTCCTCCGAGTAAGGCAAGTGGGTAAGCCTTGTCGAGTGCTAAAACCTTTTCTATTGCATTATTGACGTCCTCCTCAGTGGCATTTCCGACGGCGATGGTGGTCTGAATCTGAGCCTGAAGCTGTCGGAACAACCTCGTAGCGTTTCGTTGTTCCTCGGCGAGCTGCGAAGGTTGGATTTTGTTCATGACGAGGGACATCCACGTGGCTGCAGAGAACAGAAGAGTGGACGACAGTTTCAGAGCAAAAAGCTGCTCCGCGCCATCGTGCAATGAGGAGGCGACACCGGCCATGGTCGTGGCGGCAAGCGTGATCACGTTGGTGGAGTTCAAGAGAAGGGAGTTCCAATTATCACGTTGAACGCCAACGTTGTAATGCATTTCGATTCTGTCGCAAACTGTCTCCAGAATCGCGTACAGCTGAAGAGTGGCCTTATTGGACTCGTGAAGATCGTAGAAACCTTCATCGTCGTGGCTCTTGATATTGACCTGATCTTCAAATGAAACAGCCTTCACGGATGCCTTCGATTTCCGAACCAGCTTTCTTGAACATGGTGCATTATTATTCATAACTGAGGAACACGTTCGTGGAGGATAATGAAGCTTTGGTGATACATTGGACTTGAAAACACAAAGTGAAGACATTGAGGATTTTAAGGAAGCGGTCATATGGGATCAAAACAGATGACAATGTTTTGAATAAGAGGTTGGTGAGGAGTGGTTGATATATATATATGGGATGATTTATTTATATGTTAAGGATTAGATTTTCTTTTCAACAAGTCTGGGAGAATCGGTGAAGAGGAAAAGACTGAGCCAACTTGCTGACCCTTTATTTTATAAACTTCGATGACTTGAACCGTTCCTAGCTAGCCCCAAAAAGACTTGCTCAGCTTGTCGTCGCTTCAGCAACATGCGGATGGGAACTGGTAAAACCACGATCTTCGTTTAGTTTTCTTGCATTACAAGAACAAAAATACAGTGAGATTGATGAATTTGAACAATAATATTATTATATATGCCCTTTTCTTTTTGTAATTTTCTACCCAAGATTGTTTAATCAGTCCTGCATATGATCAGTTTTGACCTGATTGAATTTTAAAAGTAAGAAAAAAAGGAAAAAGGATCTCACCAAATTAATACGCATACGCGTGGACCGATTTTAGTTTAATATAATATTGTCAACTCACTACACAGTTAAGTACTTAAAATAAAGGGTTAATTAATCCGTAAGTCCTTATAGTTTCAACCAATTTTGAATCAGGTCCCTATAGTTTTTTTTCTTTTTATTAGATCCTTATACTTTTACCTTTTTTTAATTAGGTCCTTGTATTTATTTTTCTTTTAATTAAGTCTTTATAATTTCATTAAATTTTTAATCAGGTCCATGTAGTTTTAATTTTTATTTATTAATTAAATATAAGCTTAATTAAATAGATTAATAATGAAATATAAAATATTAATAAGTAAATTAAATTAATAATTATGTAATAAAAAATAATAGAATTAATTAATTCAGGAAAATTTTTTAGAACAATTAATTTTTTTGCTGAAAAATTTAAAATCATTATAATAATTCAATATCTTTAGAATATTATTGTTTATAAACTAATATTAAATAATATATACTATTTTATGTTATATAATAATACTATTAGAATTCATAAAATAAAGAATAAAAAATTCAGGGACTTAATTAAAAATAAAATGAACTTATAAGGATTTGATAAAAAGAAAAATAAATACAAGGACCTAATTAAAAACAAGTGAAAGTATAAGGATCTGATAAAAAGAAAAAAAACTATAAGGACCTAATTCAAAATTCGTTGAAACTATAAGGACTTGCGGATTAATTATCCCTAAAATAAATATAAACATTAAAATAAATATAAACATGAAGTTTAATCCTACAAGAGTTGGAATATAGTGAATTATATATAAGGTTTGGACGTGTTAACCTATATAACTTGAACAAAAATAGTTGGCAAAAAAAAAAAGAACAAAAAAATAATTTTTTTGTCATGAGCAATCTATTATTTTGGATTTTGAAATTGACACGCGTTTGTTTTAACAATACCACTCACAATATCATAATTAACTAAACATGTTCAATTTACAGGTGAAATATATTTTTAAATGATACAAATTATTTCTTCGTTTTTAAACATATTTACCAATATTTATTAAATTTAGATATTATATATAACAGGATATTTAAATAATAAAATAAACTTCAACAATTAAATGTCATAAGAGGCCATGTGATTTTATATGAAATAAAAAATTATAATTTCTTTTCTTAGTATCATACTTCGTTTTTTTTCCCTTAAACATTGAACATTGATGAATTGTCCATGTGAAATTATTAGTTTATTCAAATTTTCAACTATTTATTATTTCGTTTTTTGGCCAAAAGCGACAGTAGTTTAGAATATCTCAAAAGATTATAAAAAGCTAGCTAATACCCGATCTAATACTTCTTCTACTTGCACCTGCAAGCACGGAAATCTCTAAACGACGTGTATTTTGTATTAAAACTGGAAGAACTTGTAACGAAATTATGAGTTTACGTAGAGCCGTGTCCTTTAAGCTAAGCATCCTAAAATCACTCCCATTTTGTTATACTATCTCTGTTAATATAAGAACTAGTTTGACATTCAATTTGGTCATAAATATAATATCCTAATTCGTTTTATTTTTCATTTTTTTTAAGATAGTCCTTATAATAGTTATACATATTAGTTTTATCATGATTAACAAATGTATTTTAGGAAAAATAACATTTTTTTATTATAAATAACTAATTTAACTAATTTTCTTAATCTATTTAAATTAGTCAATAACTCTTATATTAAAGACCGTAGGTAGTATTAATTATAATTATAAAACTTTATATTCAATTTTGTTTTTTTAAAAAAACATATACAAATGAATCTCCATAAATAGATCTGCCTTGTGTTATCTCCAATCTATTTTCCATCCACCCATTTTGATAACAGTTTGTTAAATCACTCATTTTCAAATTCTTTTGGATCAAAATACTCTTATATATAACATAAATATTGGGTAACCATCTTTCAAAAAACTTGTATTATAACATTAATTTTATAATTCAAATTTTCAAATATATATTGATCTAAATTTTAAAATTATTTATTTAATAATCTTCTAGACACGTATGGCTTCTAGCTTATCATATTTTTACATGAGGGAAGTTTGGAAGCTAGGAAGGAAAAATCATCACTCAGGGAGATCGGTTAAGGATTAATTAAAGGGATTGCTATAATGGCCATTTGATTACTGAAAGTACAAATACCCAGAATCTTAGGTATATAATACTCGTGTTTAAAGAGAAATTGGCAACAAATTTAACACCCAAGATCAGTGATAGTGATGGGGATCAAGTGTTTAATGAAGATTTTGAAGAAATTATAGGAATTTTAGGTTATAAGATTATATTAGTAATCATATAATATTATTTTAATATAAACTTTAATTAATGAAATATAATTTAGAATCTTTTAATTGTTATAACAGAGTCAGAAATTAGATTAATTAAACTATAGGTTGTAATTTTATTTTTTAACAGAACAAATAGACGATAAGTGCGTTTTACTCTAATATTAAAATATGCATTAAAATATAGCTTATGAAATGACACTAATTAATTATAGTGTGACTTCAAAATTTATTCAAGCACTTCAGTATGAACAAATGAATTTTTTGCCGTATTAACGGTTGTCTAAATTATGAACAATAATGTTCACTATAGTACAAGGTAATTTCCTTAATTAAAATTTTCAACATATACTACCTCCAGTCCTTAATATAAGAACTAATTTACTAATTTGAGTAGATTAAGAAAACTAGTAAAATTAGTTATTTATAATAAATAGGTGCTGTCTTTTCTAAAATATCTTTATCAATTAAGTGTATTGGTTAGAATTACCATCATTACAAGGATTATCTTGAAAAAAATAGATAAATATAATAGAAAAAATAGATTGAGATTTTATATTTAGGACTAAAATAAAAATTAAATAAGTTTTTATATTAAGAACAAGAGCTAATACTTAATTAGCAAGAATACTAACTTAATTATTATTAAAAAAAAGAAGATAAGATATAGTCAAAGGTGCATGTCATATGGGCATACGGCTGACCTGCTCCGCTGGATGAATCTGTCAAGCGGTCAAATTGGGTTCATATAATATTAAAATAAAATGATGAGAGGGTTTCCTGCTTATGCTTCCTATGTTCCCAATTCATCATATCAACTTCCCGTTTAGAATCACTTTTCAGACAAAACTAATCTTACATATTTATCTCGTATTTTATAAATTATTATTAAAAATTGTTTATAAACTATTCGAAACAGGTTAAATTGAAAAGGATTAAGTTTTACTAACCCTAAAACGGGTTTAAGTTGTTATAACAATGGAAGAGAAAAAGGGATTAATGCTTACACATAGCCAGGGTTGTGTGCGTGTGTCTAACCTCTTGAATATTCTCCTATTTTATGATTTGTTAAGAGAAGACTGTTTAGTAAGTATAGGCTGAATTCCTTTAACTATACAAACTTTTTTTTTTTTTTGATATACTATACAAACTTATTAATTCCTCTATGCTTCGTAAAATGGACAGTAAATAAGTGAATCATCATCTGATTTTATGTGACTGGTCTACAAATTTTTAAATATGATGACTATGAATTGGATTGGTTAAAAAAAAAAAAGCAGTGAATAGAAGAGTAAAAACTAGCACTGTTGTATTTGTTTCAAACATAACAAATACTAAAAATTTCAAAATTAAAATTCAAACCTCAACAAGTAAGACTCCCGGGCAATGATGCCACTTGAAAAAGCCTTACCGCAGGAGCTCTACAAAGGAACTAAAATCAAGCAATTTTGATACAAGCTCTTAACTTTTTAAGCTATTCCAAACACAATCAAACATTAGAGAAGTGCTTTTAACCCTTAAAAACAGCTTGAACGCCACTTAAACATGGCTCCAAACAAGCATAGTGTCATTAAACTTGCGACTTGACTTTTTAAGTTTATTGTTTTTATTTTTTCAACTTATAAAATTATATCAGCTCTCTCTTAAACTCGTAAAAGTTGTAAACTCGATTGAACTTATGAGTTCACTCATCAAATTAATCGTTTTTACGTTTTCAGTTTACAAAATCATGCCAACTCACTCTTAAACTCGTGTTAAACTTTCCGATTTAGTTATATTTAATGACTTTGTATATGAACTTCATAGGAATTTCTTTATTGAATATGATAAATTATAATTGTTGATAGGTTAAATTTCAATTATTTGGATTTAAAATATATTTAAATGAAATTGTTGTCACTTTTTATATTTTAATTATTTAATTATATACTTTTAATATTTATTTATAAAATAAATTTTTATGAGTTTACGATTCGAGTTTACATCCCTCTCACAGATTTGTTTTAATTTGCAAGTTTGACAATCTTGGTGAGAAAAACCATAAATCAAAAAGGAATAATTTTCAAGAGAAAATGTAATTCGTTGATACTAATGAGTCCATGTTTAAAAAAGAGAACATATATTCAGATTAAAAAAATATAACTGGCAAAAGGAGATTTAAAAAAAATATAAATTTACTCCTCAACAGTGTCGAAAATATAATTATGTTTAAAAGCGAACAATAACGAATTTTTTATAA